GGCCCGCTCCATCCATGTCGAAAGCCAATCCCCATCATTCTGTCTGGTGGGCCTGCGCACAGCAGGCTATGCGCCACCTCTTGACAGTGATCGCGGGGCGGCCGCGCATGATCCAGATTTAGCCGCGATGTGCATTTTCATCGTTCTTTGCCAGGGATGGTAGTCTGGCGCGCAGCAGGCAATCTGCTGACACCCCCGCCGCGCTTATCAAACACGACACAAAGTGCTCGCGGGCCTCACGAACATGACTGAAGACTTTGCCGCAACGTGTACTCCGTATTGTTTTTGATAGGGATGGTGGTGGGTGCCCTCATGGTTCCTGGTTGGCCGCTGGTCGCCTGGGGGAGGGGGTGTATACTAATAGGGAGCAGTGATAAGCAACTTCCCGAAGGGGAAGAGGGTTTTGGAAGAAGCGGGGGAGCATGCAGAAGAACAACGGGCGGGTAAGCTGCCATATGCCCCAAGAGGGGGAGGACGTAGGAGGAATCGTCGTCGTCGTCGTCGGAGTGGGAGGAGGAAGAGGAGGAACAGGAGGAGGAGCAGGAGGAGGAGGGGGAGGAGACAAGCTAGGTGCGCTCGCGTCATATCTGACGTCCTACCCCTCCCTCCCATCCCTTACCATGGCGCTGATTTTCCCTATCCGCGGACGCGTGTCGTAGCGGACCTGTGGCTCCGCGTGTGCGTGCGTAGTGGGTGGTGGTGCGCGTGCGTGCGTGCGTGCGTGTGTGCGTGGTTGTGGTGGTGGTGGTGGTGGTGGTGGTGCTGCTGGTGGTGGTGGTGGTGGTGCTGGTGGTGGTTGTGGTGGTGGTGGTGGTGGTGGTGGTGGTGGTGCGGCGCGGTGGTGGCGGGCGGATGGGCGCGCGAGAAAGAGGCCCGCGCTGGGGCGAGAACGCCATCCTGAACGACGGAGGCCAAACACCGATCCGAAAATGAGGCCCACGCTGCAGCGGGAGCACGATTCGGAACGATTCGGGAGCAGAAATGAGGCCGGCGCCTCAGCGAGAGCAGCATTTTGAAAAAAAACGCAGGCGAAAACCCGTTTCCCGGGAATCCTGTGTGTAAAAAAACAGTACGCGGGGGGGGGGGTCGGATATCTTCGGGACGCCATCAGGGGAAGTGGGAGAGTATTTTCATATTGTGTAATTGTGGAGATGGAGGAGGCGAGGACGGAGGACGAGGAGAGGAGAAGGAGGAGGAGGAGGAGGAGGAGGAGGAGGAGGAGGAGGAGGAGGAAGGAGAGAGGGAGGAGGAGGAGAAGGAATGAGAAGAAGGAAGAGGAGGAGGAGGAGGAGGAGGAGGAGGAGGAGGAGGAGGAGGAGGAGGAGGAGGAGGAGGAGGAGGAGGAGGAGGACGAGGAGGAGGACAATGGCGAGCTTGGGGGCCCCTTGGGCCGTCTTTGGGGCCTCTTGGCGGTCCCGGGGGCCTCTCCCGTATCTCGGGGAGCCTCTTGGGGCCTCTTGGGGATCTTGGGAGTCTCTTGGAGGCCTCTTGGGCACCTCTTAGGCGTCTTGGGGCTCTCTTGGAGCGCTCTTGGGGCGCTCTTGGGAGCCTTCGGGCCGCTTTTGGGGCCATCTTGGACGAGATCTATCAAAGAAGGGGGGCCGTCAATTAGCCCTGCCCCTCTAGAGTGCCTCGAATCGCCTCTTGGGCCCCCCAAGAGGCCAACATCCTTCCAAAAGTGATGGAAAATCTATGTTTTGTGCTTTCTCGCCTTTTCGCTCTTGAAGCCGTCTTGGGCCATCTTGGACGCCCCAACGACCCGCGGAACCCTCCGTCCAGGTCCAGGGGAGGGGGTAGGGGGAGGGGTAAACCCCTCCCCGAAAGGGGAAGAAGGGGGTTGGAAGAGGAAACTCTCCAGACCACCGACGCCCAGAGGGCTGGTGGGATTCTGCAAAGGCTTCGTTATTGACCTCAGCGAGGTCTACGGCGTGCGCAGGCTCTGCTGGAAGAAGGACATACACGTCGACTGGAACTCTGAGTTGTATCGCGAACTTGACAAGCGGAGGCAATACTCTGACCTCGCAAAAGGCAGAGGGAAGGGTGCTCCTTCGCACGGGAAAGGGAAGCGGCCAGCGGACTCCTCGTGGCCTAGCAATGACCCTCCGCCAGCGGTGGTCAGCTTCCAGCAACCACCGCTGGTAGCCTTCAGCGGCATCACGGCCTCGACGTGTACTGAGCGTGGCACCCCCGCCCTGGCAGTGGCCCCTTTTGCTGCCGCCCTTCCCTTCCTGCCTTCGTGGCTTCTTACATCGTGCACCTATTCGGTGCCCCCCCGCAGGCCTCCAGCTCGTGCTCGGGGCCTGCCCGCTGTCTTTCTTTGCCCTCGCGGCTGCCTCCCATCGTGCACCTGTCCTGTGCCCCCCCGCAAGCCCCCCCCCCCTGCTCGGGGCTTGCCCTCCTATGGCGCACAGGCGTGGGGCCCGCCCGCGCCTGTGCTGGCTCCCCTGCTGGCCGCCCTCGCCGGGTTGGCCCCGTCACTGCTGGCTGGTTTTGCCGCCTGCTCGTGACTGTTCGCCGCCCCTCCCGCCCGCCTTGGGGTGCTCTTCGCCGCCGACGCTTCCTACCTCTCGGGGCGCCGGCTTTCTGCAGGTTCTGTCCAGGCCCTGCCTGCGGCACCCCTCGGCCTTGCCGGCTTGGTCGGCCGGGGCAGCGCTCATTTGGGTGCTTGTGCCCCTCTTCTCTGCCTGGCCTTCTGGCCAGGCCCCTTCACCGGCTACCAGCGTCTGGTCCTGACGCTTCTTTGACTCTTCCAGCCGCCCGCCCAGCACCGGCTACCGGTGGCTGGCCGTGGTCGATTCGTTGTCAATTCGCCGCGTGCGGGTATTCAGGTGGCTCCGCCCCTGGGTTCATCCGCTCGCGTTGGCTTGCCGCCCTTCATTGGGCGCGGCCCGCCTGCCCGCTGCGGTCTGGCATCTGGCCTCGGCGCTCTCTCTCGGCGGGGCCCCTCCCCGTGCCGTCGGTGCTGCTGCGCCCCTGGGCTGCCCCTCCTCGCCTGGTCTCGGCGCTCCCCTCCGTAGCCGACGTCGGGGTTCCCACCGTCGGCGCTGGTCGAGGTCTTGGCTTCTTCGACTCGTCCGTCGCCCCGTCCCGGCCGCTTCGGTCCGCTCCCCGGCGGTGTCGCCCGGGCCCTTCCCCCGCGGTTGCGCCTCGCAGGCCCGCAGGTCTCGGCGCTTCGCTTCTCTCGGGGCCAGGATTCGGCTGCTCGGTTGGACGCCGTGCCCTCCGGTGTCATGTTCCGCCTGGCTCCAGGCTGCTCGCCGCCGGGCTTGTTCAGTGGCGACCGTGACCTGTGCCGCTCCGCACTGCCCCCTCGTGCACGCAGCGCCGCGCTCGCTTCCGAGGTTCGCCCTCGGCCCCCTCTTGCCCTGCTCAGCACAGTCGAGGCCCCCCGGTCTCGGTGCGTCAGCTGCCCTCTGGGCCGCACCTGGCGGTTCGCCGGGCCGTGCTGGCGCTCCCGTTGCCTTCTTTTTGCCGCTCAGTCAGCTGGGCCGCGCATTCCCCCAGCTCCCAGTTCAGCTCTGCGCAGCACAGTGCAGCACAGCGCGCTGGCTTCCCCACCCTGGCGCTCCCCTGCCTGTGCCTCTCCCTGCACGCGTCTCGTTGGCCCGCTGGTCTCGGCACTCGGTCCATCCTTGGACCATGCCTTGGGCCGGGTCGGGGTTCGCTGCGTTGTATTTCTCCACCAGCAGTTGCAGCGCAGTGCTGCCTCCCCCCCAGCTTCAGCTCAGTGCAGCGCAGTGCAGCTCAGTGCTGGCGCCGGTCTCCCACCTCGGCGTTCCCTCCGCCGCAGTCGGCACCTCTGAGTGGCCCGGCTTCCTCTCCCCCTGTCGCTCCGGGGCCCCTCTCCTCTTCCGTGCATTGCGGCCTTAATGAGCATACAGCGTGTCCCCTGTTGCCATTCCACCAGAGCAGTCACCCAGCCGCCGACGCAAAAATATGTATATGTGTGTCTCTCTCTCTCTCTCTGTCTCTGTCTCCCTCATGGATCCCAAGCAGTTTTATATTGCAACTTGCGCGGTGCATTTGCAACCAATGTGGTGCAATCCAAGTGTTGCACTCTATGCGGTCCAAAGCAACTGCGCAACGCACTGCAACGCAAACGCAATGCAAAACACTGTAACACAATGCAATGCAATGTAATGCAATGCGAGGCGATGTAAATCAATGCAGCGCAATGCGACGCAATGCAAAGCAGTGCAATCTGACCGCAACGAATGAATCAATACAACGCAATTCAAGTCAATGCAAGCCATGCGAAGCAAAATAATGAAACGCAGCGCAATTCAAACACATGTAAAACAACGCAACGCAAGGCAGTGCAACGCAATGCAATGCAACGCGATGCAACGCAATCATAATGATGCAACGCAATGCGACGCAATGGAAATCAACGTAATGAAACGCAATGCAACGCAACTCCAAACAATGCAAGGCGATTCGAAGCAACGCGCAGCGATGCAAAGCAATGCTACGCAGTGCAAAACAATGTAACGCGAAGCGAAGCAGGGCAAAACAATGCAGCGCAGTGCAAAAGGGCGGCGATGAGGCGGCGGGCGGCGACAAGGCGGCGACGGCGGCGTCATGGCGTCCCAGGCGGCGGGCGGCGACAGGCCGCGACAAGGCGGCGACTGCGGCGACATGGCGGCCAGAGCGACCCGCAGGCCGAGGCGGCGGGCGGCGACGAGGCGGCGATGAGGCGTCGACGTCGCTTCGTAGCCGCCAGACCGACGCGCAGGCCCAGTTCATTAGACGACAAGTAACACCCCATGAGTGCAAGCAGTGTTTGGAGAATGTGCACACATGTGTGTACCGCCCTCTCCATCTCTTTATTTCGGTTCTATGTTTCTCTGTCCTGCCATACGTACAATTTTCTTCATTTCTCTCTGTCAGTTCCAGTCTCTCTTCTTTTCATTTCTTCCATCTCTCTCTCTCTCTTTTGTTCTCTCCCATCCTCTCTCTCTCGCGTTCTCGTGACTCGGGCCGGCCCGCCGTGGGGGAAGGCGATGCGGCCGCCGCGACGACGTCCTTCTGTCATTCGCTGGTGGTGCCCAACGAGCCCGAACTCATCCCGGAGGTCGTGTCTGGGGGGTGGGGGTTTGTGGGGCGATAGAAAAGGCGGAAGGACCATAGAGGGTTGGGACGAGGACGGTGGCCTGCTTCCGAAGAGGCAGGCCTGAGGGATGGACGGAGTGGTGAGGGAGGCAGGGGAGAAAGTAGCAGGAAAGAAGAGTAGTAGGAGGAGGCCGACGATTCTGATTATGATTATGATGATGACGCTGCTGCTGATGATGATGATGATGACGATGATGATGATGCTGATGATGATGCTGACGGTGATTATGATGATGCTGGTGATGGTGTTGATGGTTATGATGAAGAAGAAGACGACGACGATGATGATGATGATGGGTATGATGATGATGGTGATGATGAATGTGAGGATGATGAGATGATGATGTTAATGATGATGCTTCTGATGATGATGCTGATGATGATGATGATGCTGATGCTGCTGATGATGATTATGATGATGGTGATGGTGATGATGATGATGATGATGATGATGATGATGATGATGATGATGATGATGATGATTGTGATGATTATGATGGTCATGATGATTCTGATGGTGATGATGATTACGATGATGATGCTGATAATGATGATGTGCTGATGTGATGATTATGAGGATGATGACAATGATGATCATCATGATTTTGTTTCCCTTCAGTTAATCGGCAAGGTCAGAGCTGCAATGGCACCGAAACGTCGCATACCCGTCGGCTTCTCCAGCGACGTGGACGCATCGTCCCGGGCGGACAGCGCCGTGTCCGCCGCCCGGTTGTCCAGGCAGAGCAGCGCGACGTCGGCCTACACCATCATCGCGGCGCGCTCCAGCCGCCCCGCCGGCGCCAGAGCCGCAGCATGACGCTAGGCCACGTTCTCTGGATGCCGGCGACATCTGCGGCCCGCATCTCCAGGAGAGTGGCGGACTTCTCGTGGAGGCGCCCGTGCGTCTCGAAGTTTCAGCGTGGCAACCTCCATACCTCGTGGCTTGATCCTGCAGCTTTGTGCGCGCCGCAGCAGCTGCAGCCTCATGCGCATGCACTTGCCGCGCCGCATGTGGGCTGCGGATCGTCACGTCCCACCACTATGCGTACGCAGCCGCCGGCACCATGATACCGAGAATGGCTGGCCTCCTGATATTCGGGCGCGGCCCCCTCGGATGCCACCTTGTCGGCATTGCGGGGCCGATACACTTCAGGCACGTGCCGCTCCCTGTCTACATCGGCGCCGGCTTGGCGGGCGAGCTGTGCCAACTCGGTGAGCAGGGCCTGGTGTGGCCTCTGGCAGGCAGGGCCCTTCTTGCACGTGGAGACGTGGCTGGCGGCACTGCCCAGCTCTCTCTCGGCGTCGCAGAGCGCGGCGCCACACGTTGCCCTTGTCGTCGAGCATGCGGCACGTCGCCCTGGCTGGTACATTGAGCATGGCAAGTTGGGCCTTGGTGGCGACCACGGAGTGCGCATTCGGGAGGAATTCGTCCTCCGTGATGGTGATGATGATGATGATGATGATGATGATGATGATGATGATGATGATGATGATGATGGTGATGATGATGATGATGATGATGGTGATGATGATGATGATGATGATGATGATGATGATGATGATGATGATGATGCTGATGATGATGATGATGATGATGATGATGAGGAGAATGATGAGACTGCTGGACGAGGAGGAGGAGGAGGAGGTGATAGCTGAGGGAGGATGACGTGAGAAGATGAGGGGGAGGGAGGAACAGGAGGAGGATGAGGCTGTGGAGGAGTATGGAGGAGTATGTTGCATTATGGGGGAAGAAGGGGGAGGACAACTGATGGACGATACTTATCATCATAGGATGACAAGAAGGAGGAGGATGTCTAGGACGTGAGGTAATATTAATATTGGTATTGATGATGACGACGTCGATGATCATGCTGATGCTGCTGATGATGCTGCTGATGATGCTGACGATCGATGACGATGATCATGCTGCAATCGGTACTGGCAACGATGCTGGTTTGATGATGATGATGCTGACGCTGATGCTGACGAAGATGATGCTGCTGATGATGATCACAATGATGATACTGATGATGATGCCGCTGATGATGTTGATCATGCTGACGATGATGCTCTTGGTGATAGTGATGGTGATGGTGATGATGATGATGATGATGATACTGATGCCGAGGATGCTGATGATGTTTCTGATGATGTCGATGATGCTGCATCTGCCGCTGATGATGATCACCATGTTGCTGATAATATGCTGATGCTGCAGTCTGTGCTGATGACGATGCTGCTGATGAAGACAACAGCGATGACGATGATGGAAAGGCTGATGCTGATGTTGATGTTGTTGATGCTGATGCTGATGCTGATGCCGCTGCTGCTGCTGATGCTGATGATTAGGTCGAATATGACGATGATGCTGCTGATGATGCTGCTGATGATGATGCTAATGACGACAACGTCGATGCTGCTGCTGATGATGGTGATGATGACGATGCTGCAGACGACGATGATGGTGATGATGATGATGGTGATGATGATGATGATGATGATGATGATGATGATGATGATGATGATGATGCTGCTGCTGATGATGATGATGATGATGATGCTGATGCTGATGCTGCTGCTGCTGCTGCTGATGATGATGATGATGCTGATGCCGATGCACATGCTGGTGATGATGCAGATTATGCTAATGCTGCTGATGATTCTGCTGATGAACCTGATGATACTGATGCTAATGAGGATGATGGTGGCGATGATGATGCTGATGCTGCTGCTGATGATGATGATGATCATGATGCTGATGATGATGATGATGATGATGATGATGATGATGATGGTGATGCTGATGCTGATACTGCAGATGATGGTGATGGTGATGATGATGCTGCTGAGGAAGACATGGTGATGATGATGATGGTGGTGGTGGTGATGATGATGGTGAGTAATGAGCAATGAGTTCTGTCGTCGCCGTCTTGCTATTGCTCCTCCATTCTTTCTACATCTCCATCTCAGCTTCCTCCTTCATCTCCTTCTATTTCTCCTTCTCCTTCTCCTCCCCTCTTTCCCTTCTCCTGTCCCCGTTCTCCCTTTTCCTGCTCCTGCTCCTACTCTCCTCTGCCCGTCCCACTTATCAGGCCGACGCGTTCGAGACGTGGATCTCCGAGCGGAAGCTGCAGGAGCCGAGAGGGGTGCCCTGCCTCTTGACCAGGGCCAGCGCTGGGGCGCGAGGATGATCTACCGTTCCCCTCTCGGTTTGCCTCTGAGGCTGTGGACGGTTCCGGGTCAAGCCTTCGCGCCCTCGAGAGCTCTCCGCACCCAAGCCAAAGCCAGTCGGTGGGGTGTGTGTATTCCGCCTCGTCGCTGCGCGCGAGGCCGCTACCGCCCGAAAATGTGTGTGTGTGTGTGTGTGTGTGGGGAAATGGCTTCTGTCAGGAGTACGCCTCCTCCTCCCCTCCTCTTCCTGCTCCCTTTCTCCCCCTCTCCCCTGCTGCCCGCAGGAGTACTGCCACGACAAAACCAGGCGGGGCGGAGGCAGCACAGACCAGGGCCTCATGTGGGAGATGATGGGCTGCCAGTTCGATGAGGAGACGCTTCGGCTTGGCATGGCCTCTGGGCCCCAGTTGGGGCGGGGCGGGGCGGGGCACGTATGCCGTCCGGCGTCCCCTACGCTGCGCCTTCATGGCGCCACGTTCGCGCAGCCAGTTGCCACTTGGCCTTCCTCGTGGCGCCTCTCGGGGCACTCTTGGGACACTCTTGGGATCTGTCTGCAGCCCCCCTCGCGCCTGGAACCCGCGTGGGTCTCTCTTGGGTCCCTCATCGACTCATCTTCGCGTCTTTTCTGACGCCTCTTGGGGATGTGTTGGCTCGTCTTGGGGCCGTCTTGGCGTAGTGGGGGCGTCTCGTTTGTAGTCCTGTGGAGTACCTGTAGGTTGTCGGAGGCCACTCCCAGGGCCGTTTTCAGAGTGTGCCCAGGGAGCATCGGAAGTCCAGAAGCCATGGTGGAACAAGGTGGGTACTATGTAGAATCGGAATTTCTGTGTGAATCGCCGCCGCTACTCTGCGGAGCGTGGTGCACCAGACAGTGGCGCTGGTCTTGCTGCTCGTCTTTGGACTCCTCCCTCCTTCACTCCCTCCCTCCCTCCTTGTCCTCCTCCCTTCCCCCCTTCCCTCTCCTCTTCCTCCTCCTCCTTCTATCTTGTCTTCCCCCTGCTCCTCCCCCTCCTCCGTCGCGGTGTCCACTCGAAGGGGAAGTGCCGGGCGGTGCTGCCGCTGGAGGGACGCCTCAAAGCATACGGCTTCCAGACTGGACGCCAGCGCGTCCCTGCGCTGCTGGGCTTCGACCAGGACCAGGTCCTCGGGGACCGCCCAAATGCTCACGCTCAGGCCAGTGCGCTGACCTCCAACCCCTTCCGCTCAGCTTCCAGATCCCTCCCAGGCCATCTGTCCACATTCTGGTGGTCCGATTCGATGCGATTCGATTCGGCAGCTGGTGCCGTGATTCCGATTCGATCTGTCTCGGCGCGGTTCACTGGCATCGGCCAGGGCCAGCCGGAGGCCAGGCTACCTGATCTCGATCTGGGTCGGGACGGTTGATTGGCCATCCAATCCGTGTCCGATCCGATGCAATAGCGCGATTCGGTCCAGTTGAGGCCCGGCGGTCGTCATGGAAAGGGGGTCGCCTGGGATGGGGCGTCTTGGCCGCGCCCGAGGTCATGCAGAAGGCGGAGCAGTACCTCGGACAGAAGCCAGGCGCGTTGCCGGGAAACAGTCGCGGAGGGTCCGGGGGTGGCCGTGGGCTTCTCGGCGTCAGATTTCGTGGCGCGACGCCGACTTCCTCTCCTCCCCCATCCCCTGCCTTTCCGCCTCTCTTTCCCTAGCCTTTAGCTTCTTCTCCCCATCCATGGTATCCCTTCGTACCTCACTCTTCTCCATCCTCTGTCTCCCCTCGTTCACTCCTTCATCTACTCCCTCCACTCCTGTCGTCCTCTCCTTCCCTGACCGCGCAAGAAGTCTTGTTCCCAACCATCCTGTGGTGTTGGGTCTTCGTTTTGAAGAGACGGTTCCCGCGTTCCGCGGGCGATCATTCGCGGCTCGGCGTTGAGGAGGAGTCGAACCATGAGGAGTGTGGCGGAGAGCGCCGTGAGGAGCGACTTCGACGACGGGGTCCTCTTGGGGCCGCACTTCACGCTCGACGTGAGGTCGGAGATCGCCAAGAGGCACGGGGGCCCGGTGCAGCGCCGCGCGACGGGGAAGCACGAGGACAAACTGAACAATGACGAGTACAGCGCCGAGGCCCACGGGATGCCGTCGGAGATCTTGGAGCTGATGAAGTGGGTTGCCAAGTTGGCGGCCAGGAAATCGGCGATCACGAAGGAGGCGCAAGGCGGCAGTGGAGAGGGCTCTGGCGCGGGCTCCTCCTGGGAAATTATGATGAAGGGCGAGGCTGAGGGGTGGCCGACCTCAGCCAGTACCAACAGGCCGCTGGGGCGCATGGTGCCAAGGGACTTGCTGCCGCTGCCCATGGCGCCGCTCGACCCAGCACGCGAGTCGAGGGCCCTTCCTCGACGCCCCGCGCAGAAGCTCGGCCGTGATACTGCCATCGGCCGCCGCGTGAGCGATTACATCGCCGCCCTCGACGACCTGCGCGGGGACGGCGACTTTTGCTCGGAGGCGCGTCTTCCGTAGTCCTTCTGAGGCGCAGTTTTCCGCTGTGGATATGATCTGGGCGGCGGTCGCTGGCGACAAGCCGCCCGATGACCTCCCCAGCCCCGAGGCAGCCCTGAAGGAGTTGCTCGGCTCGGACACTTTGGGCTACAGCCCAGAAGGTCCCACTGTGCTTTCGCCGTGCGACCGCGATCTTGTCTCGTGGCCCGGATCGGCGGGCTGCGTGAGCTTGTTGGAGGTGCCACCGGAGCCAGATCGCCAGGAGGTGATCGACGGTGAGAGTTCGCTTTTACGTCGCGCTGATGAGGTGCGCCCTAACGCCGCAAAGGTGTGCTGGGATAAGACCCTGCGCAGCAACAGAGACGAGCGCGCGACTTTCGTCCAGGACTTGCCGCGGCAGGACATGGTCGAGCGCGCGCGTCGAGATGTTGAAGTGGGCTTCTTCATCGCGAGGAAGAAGTCGGGTTATTCGCTTGATTATGGGCGCGAGGGCGGTCGACCAGGCGCCGGGGCGGCCCGCCTCGATCCACATGGCGTCGACGGCGGCGCTGTTGGGCCTTGAGACAGAGCCCGGCGTGCAGCTGGAGTTCTCCATTGAGGACATCGCCGATTGCTTCTACGAGCTCAGGGCGCCAAACTGCATGATCCGGTGGTTTGGGATGCGGCCGCTGCGGGCGCGAGAGCTGGGCGATAAGGAGGTGCAGGGTCAGGGCGTGGCCGGTGGCGCGTGGATTTACCCATGTCTGAAGGTGCTGCCCATGGGGTTCCCGTGGGCGATGCGATGGGCCCAGCAGGCGCATCGCGAGCTGCTCCGCCGCGGCGGGCTCGGCGGCATCGAGAGCGAGTTGGTGGCCCGCCAGCTGGCCCCAGAGCTGGTCGCCCAGCTGTTGCCGCGCGCGGTGTGCGTCGACAATGAGATCTTCGCGTCGCCCCAGCCCGGGGCGACCAAGCGGGCGCGCGGGCGGGCCGCCGCGGTGATGGCGCAGGTCGGGCTGCCGTTGCGCGAGGTGGAGGAGGGTCAGAACGCGGTGGCGGCGCTGGGGCTGGAGCTGGGCGGTGTCCAGCTGCTGCAGGCGCGGCTGGCGCAGGCGAAGCGCTGGCGTTTGCTGCTTGGCACGAAGGCTCTCCTGCGGCGCAGGCTCGCTGCGGGTCAAGAGGTGGAGAAGGTGATCGGCCACTTCACGCGCGCGATGCGGCTGAACAGGCCGGCCCTGGGCGCCTTCAGGTCGGTCTGCGACTTCGTGGGGCGACACTGCCGGGGGCCCGCTGCCTTGTGGCCTTCGGTGAGGCAGGAGCTGCGCTTCGCGATGAGTTTGCTGCCGCTGTTCATGGTCGAGTTCAGCCTGCCGCGGTCCGGGCGGGTGACCTGTTCGAATGCCGCGCTCAGAGATTACGCCGTGCAGGAGGCCGACGTCGACCCGAAGGCGGTGCGTGAGGTGGGGCGTCGGAGCGAGCGCTGGCGCTTCCGCGTCGCGCAGGCGAGGCGACCGCGAGAATTGGCGCTCGGCTGTCAGGGCGACGCAGAGGGGAAGGCATCCCATGTCTCTTGCCATCGCATCGCCCTTCCCACCGTCGGTGATCCGGCAGGAGACCCGCCGGGCCTCGAAGTCGTCCGAGCTGCTGCCGATCCTCCTGCGGGTTTCTCGGGAGGGCCTGTCGGCGCTGGGATTTATGGAAGTCTTGGGCAGGTCCGTCTTGGTGCCCTGCCAGGGGCGCATGGTGGGCCTCGTCGTGGATGTCAAGACGATGTTGGCGACCTCGCAGGGCTCGCGGGGGACCTGCGAGGGCCTCCTCATGCTCCGGGCGATTTGGGGTTTATTCAGGATATCTTTGGGCCACGAGAGGAGGGGGTGGCGGTGGAGATCAATGCGAAATTCCAGAGTTACCAGAGAGTTTCGTGAGGGGGGCGTCTTGGAGGACAGCGCGGGCGCGGAGGTATTGCAAGAGGGGGCGATTCACTTTATGGAGTTGAGGGCTGTATTATTCGGTTGGAGGAGGAAGTGTCGACAGAAGCGCCATCGCCGGCCCCGGCGTGCGTTGAGTCTTGAGAAGGGGCGAGCTGTTTCCCATCCGGTGCACGTTCTGCTCACGAAGTGGGCAGCCCTCTGTCTGGCCACTCTCTCGCGCCAGTGCGAGATGGATTGCTGGCGAGCTCAACCGTTGGATGAGCCGAGTCGGTGGTTCGATTCACCTGCCGAGAAGGCGGCTGCCGTGGCGCCGGGGTCTACCGGCGAGAGGCAGCTGAGGCGCGCTCGAGTGCAGGCCGCGCGGCTGGCGCGCTCGGGTCTGGCAGCCCACGGTGAGAGACGAGGTCAGCAGTGCTAGCCGAGGCGGTTGGCGCCGCCGCGCCTGGGGCGCCTCGCCTGGAGCTCGCGCGGATGAGGTGGGCCCGCTTGCGAGGCGGCCCGCCGCGAGTGCGGCTGGAGGAGGTGGGGGTTGCCCCTTCCCCTCGCCCGTCGCGCTGGGCGGCGGAGGCCCAGGAGTGTTGGCCCGCGCCGCGGCGTCTTCCATCGACGAGGTCTCGCCCGCGCCCTGCGCGCCGGAGCGGCCGCCTGCCGCCGGCGCCGTTGGGGGGCGCGAAGAAGCGGGCCAAGGAGGACCAGGGGGTCTTCGGTGGGCTCGTCACGCTGGGGCAGGAGAACAACGCCGTGGAGACCAAGCAGGACTACCAGATGAGGCGGGCGCAGTTAGACGACTTTTGCAGGACTCACAGGCTCGAAACGGAGACCGACGCGGGCCTCGTGGAGGCGCGGGTAGAGTCCATGGACGCGATGGGGAGCAACGAGAAGCCACCCATTAGCAAGACCAAGCTGCTTCCGACGGTCGGCCATCGCGACCATCGGCTTCCCCGCGCTGGTCACCGGCTGCTGCTGCCGCGCGAGGCGCGGGCGCTGCCGGGCTGGAGGCGATTGATGCCGCCAGCCATGCGCGAGCCGGTGCCGTGGGCGGCCGGGGCAGTCCTCGCACCGCTCGTCAGCCAGGGGCTGGAGCGAGCGGGGCAGGGGGTGGCAGGGGAGAGCGCGGCGACCGCGACGAGAGGCCTCAACGTGTTCACCCTGTTGGTCAGCCCTCGCCAGCCGTACCTTGGCCCGATGGGGCCGCTAGCCGCGGACCTGGACCCCGCGCAGCTCCCCTTGCCGTGGTCGGTCGCGGCCGGCAATGTCATGTTCGGGAATGCGCTGCGCCTGACAAGGTTAGACGGCTGGGAGCTGACGCCCTGCATCCCGCGCCACTCGGTGTTTTGCCGCAGCAGGCTCACCGTGGCCAAATCCCTCGTGGTTCAAGCATCGAGGGAGATGGGCCTCGGATCTCAGCGTCGCAGAGTGCGAGAAAGGCCCGGGGGTGATGCGCTGGCGGGCCACGCTGGATCGCGGGCGCTGACTACTGCTTGCCGAGGCCGACGCCCGCCTGGAAGGCGCCCAGTGCGCTGGCCGCGCCGTGGTGTTCGACCAGTGGCAGCAGGGGCAGGTGCCTGCCTGGCGCCGCCGCTCCAGCCTGTCGACAGCCGCCCTCGCTCGCTTGAGCTGTTTGCAGGAGCGAAGGGCTTCTCTTTTTCGTTGCGGCGTAGAGGTTGGAAGACTGAAACCTTTGAGATCCGTGATGCAAGTGATCTGGACATAACTAAAGAGAGCATTTTGAGGCATGTGCTGTCGAGGTTGCCGTGTGTAAAATATGTGCATAGTGGCGCGCCCTGCGCCAATTTCTCGGGTACGGGGCGAGGCAGACCTGGATCGCTGGGAGGCCCTCTGCGATCTCGGCAGTTTCCTGCAGGTCTGCCTAGCCTCAGCCCGACTGATGCTGAACAAGTGCGCACAGGCAACCGTTTGCTGCAGATCTCAATGCGTGTAATCAGAGCGTGCATGCAGCATGGTTGTATAGTGTCTCTAGAGAGCCCTCGTAACCCATGGTTGTGGAGACAGCCCGCCATGGTGCGTTTGTTGCAGCGCGCCTCTTTGACTCGCGCAGTGCACTGTAGGTTTGCCGCACCTTGGCGTAAAGCTACTACCATCGCCTGTTGGGATGGGGATCGAAACATTCTCGGTCAGTTGTCGGCCGCTTGCGCGGGCTCAGCGTGTCGTTTCTCTGGCCGACGGCGCCAGGTGTTTGAAGGTAGACCACCATGCGGCCGTCTCTGGACCCAGGTTGCAGAGACCCTACCCTCCTCGCCTCCTCTCCATTTGGTAACGGTGTGTGCATGATTCGTGTGCTGGAGAGCTCACTGTTGAATCGTCTAAGAAGTGTGAGCCGCTTCAACCGCCAGGTCGCAGATACTGGCGGTTGGTGGCAATATTGTCTGTGCTGAAAGCGAGCTCGCTCCCCAGAGCTGGCTCGCAGCATTTTGCAGCCTTAGTCGCAAAGCGAGCGTGGCAACACTGCGAGCATCATCCTGGCCCTGACAGAAACAAGTGCGTGTAGCAGGTGCAACCTGGTGTAACAGAGCGTGCAATGCTGTTGTTGATGCGCTTGGCCGCTGCCCTAGCGGCTGAAACGGTTGATTTCGTGCCCTAAGCCAGCCCGCTCCGTGCTTTGCCAGTTGAATTTTGCAAATTCAAAGCGGCAGATGTTTCAAGATAGTCTGTGCTGAGAGCGGGCTCGCTCTCAAGAGTTGGCTCGCAGTGCTGTGCAGTCTCAGTCGCAGAGCGAGCGTGGCAACACTGCGAGAATCATCCTGGCCCTGACAGAAGCAAGTGCGTCCTCCTCCTCCTCGCTCCTTGTGTTTTTTTGGGCGCAAGCCTCAAAGTGGAGAGCCTAGTCGGCTCTTGGAGGGCGCGATTTCGTTGACAAATCATACGCATCGCGGTTGCGTGTAGAGAATCGGGCGTTTGCGTCATGCCGATCTGTTCGCGGCAAGTCCCGCGCACTGCGATTGCGCATTCTTCGGCGCGGCGAGTTGTAGAGCACCGTCAAGAAAGCCGCGCCACGCGACAGACCGTCTCCCGTACCCGTGCAATGGCCGCGTCGTGTGACGCGCTTATCCGCGTCGTTTCGGGCGTACTCCTTCATTTTCGTCGTGATCCCCCCTTCCCCGTTGTGAATCCTCTTATTTTTTAACCTCATTCTGCGTCCGTTGTTCTTGCCTCTCTTGGGTCTTTCACGGATTGTTATCAGGCCGCGTTGGGCTTGTCACGAGGTCCTGTTGGGTTGTCTTGGGGGGATGTGGGGCACTCTTACGCCGTCTTGGGGCTCTGTGGGACACATCGTGGGCCGTCGTGAGCTCCCCGGGGGTTTTGATGGTGCCGTCAGGGGTCATGCCCGCCTCCATGGCGGTTTCTTGGGCTTGCCTGCGGGTCAGCGGGTGCAGTGCAGGTGCGGCGGCGACGGCATCAGGGTCGCCTTCAGGTCTCGGCAGAACAGTTCCGCGTCTCTAAGCGGGTTGGCTGGTTGACGGCCTCCGACGGCCATGCCGGGACGTTTGAATTTTTGGGTCCCGCCGCTCCAAAAAAACATGGTGGATGGTCCTACATCGTGAGATATCTGTCGACCCGCAGCATTTTATAAGGATTTCCGGGGTCCCAAGTAAATTCCTTACTCGGGTGCCCGGCGGCTCCATAATTCAGGACCTTATTTTGGTCCTCGGCGGTTGCAGGTCCCACAGGACCCAAAAATCACACAGGTCCCACATGTCCCACATTTACCACAGGTCCCGCAGGTAGCGCAGCTCTCACAGTCCCCGCAGGTCCCACCGGTCCCACAGGTCCCTCAGGTCTCGCAGGGCAGGTTTCGCAGGTCCCACTGGTCCCACAATTCCCACAGTTCCCACGGGCCCCACGGGCCCCACTATTCCCCCAAGTCCCACAGTTGTCGCAAGTCTCACAGGTCCCGCATGTCCCACATATCCTACAGATCCCACATGTCCCGCAGGTCCAACAAATCTTGCAGGCGCCGCAGGCCTCGCAAGTGCGGCAGGTCTCACAGGCCCCACACGTCCCATTGATCCAAGAAGTCCCATAGGTCTCCCATGTCCCATGAATCCTAAGGGTCCCACAGGTTCCATATGTCCCACCGCTCCCACAACGCCCACAGGTCTTGCAGGCCCCGCAGGTCTCGCAGGTCTCCTTGATCCTGCAGGTCCCTCAGGTCTCACAAGACCCACATGCCCCACAGGTCCAGCAGTTCCAAGAAGTCTCGCAGGCCCCACAATTCCCACAGGCCCCACTGATCCCACAAATCCCACATGCCCACACGACCCTCAGGTCCCACAGGTCCCACAGGCCCAGCGAGTCCCACAGGTCCTACAGGTCTCATAAGTCCCGCAGGTCTCACGGGCCACGCAGGTCCCACAGGTCCCACAGGTCCGACGGGCCCCACCAGTCCCACAAGTACCACGGGTCTTGCAAGTCTTGCAGATCGCACAGGTCTCACAGGTCCCACAGGCCCCACGGGCCCCACAGGTCTCCCAGGTTTCTCCAGTCCCACAGGTTTCACAGGTCCCGCATTTTCCACAGATCTCTCAAATCCCGCAGGTCTCGCAGGTCTCTTTGGTCCCGCAGGTTCCACAAATCGAGGTCTCACAGTTCCCACACCTCCAACAGGGCTCGTTGGTCCAACTGGGCTCGTTGGTCCCGGAGGTCTCACAAGTTCCAGAGCTTCTACAGGCCCCGGAGGGCTCGTGGGTCTCGTACGCAAGTCCCGCAGGTCCCGCAGGTCTCTCAGGTCTCGCAGGTCCCGCGTGTCCCACAGGTCCCACAGGTCTCACAGCTCCAACTGGTCTAGTAGGCCTCGATGGTCCCACATGTCTTGCAGGTTCCACAGGTCTCTCATGTCACCTTTCCTTCTATAAGGGTACCTTGCTAGTGTAAGTT